TAATTTTGTAGCGAAGCATGAGTATTGAGCTAGTATACTATAAGACAGTGGTCGGGGAACAGGGGTAAATTACCCCAAATGGGGTAAAAGTGAAAATCTGGGGGTAATGAGGAGGTTGCGCTGGCCAATGGCGGAACTATCGGCATAGCAGCAGTTATTAAAACACCCTTGAGGCAAATTTATCCCCTCCACCCCACCCTTGTTTCCTGGGTCGGAAATGACTCCAGGCTAGATTCTGCAAGAGCCGCGCCGCCCGTTTTTTAGGGGAAGGCGAGCTTCTGGCATAGGGCAGAGCATTTTGGGAAAAGGGACACTTTCCCCCGCGCTGCGATGACCGCACGCTTTTCGCGCGCAGTTTGTGTCACCGTGGCTCCCAAATATCATCCTCCCTTCCCGCTTCCTCACCCCCAGGCCCTGCCTGCCTGCCAACTAGCCAGCCAGCCCGGCTCCCTCCCCGAAGCCTCTCATCACTGCCAGGCACACAGGAAGCAAAGAGGCACCTGCAACTGCCGCCTTGGCCCCGAGAAAATTCCCAGAAGCCCTCGGGAAGCCTGGTGACATTTCATTCCCTGGAGCGAGCTATCCCGCCTTCTTCCCAGCCGCGGGGGGGGGGAGGGTACCTCCTCCCGCCTCGACCTCCAAATTATGTGTCAGCAGCCTGAGGTGGCCGGGGAGGGGGAGAGGCCGGGAAGGGGGGGGCGTCATTTTTCTGACGCTGCCTTGGCTTCCCTTCGCAAGACCGGCGGTCTCCGACTTGCGTGCGCGCGCGTGCCTTCGCAGAGGAGTCAGGGGTGGCAGCTCCGCTTCGTGCGAGTGCGAACTGGTGGCCAGCCTTGACTCAGCTGGATACAGGGGGGAAGGCGGCGGGTGTGTGTGTGTGTGGGGGGGACGACAGATCTTGTGCAACCATCTTCCTTTGTGGAGTCAGAGCTGCAGTTTCAAAGTCTCCGCAAACTTTCATTTGCTGGCCTCAAAACCACGCCGCGGCCAGGGAAAGGTGACTAGGCCAGCTACCTCGTCTTCTTTCAGGGACTCTCCTGTAGTGACTCAGGGACAGGATGGCACCCGGAGCAGTTTTGGCTTGGAGGCTTTCCTTTCTCTCTTTCTGCCCCGTTTCTTTTCCTTGAGAGGAGCACAACATCACACACACACTTGCCAAATCCGGGGCTTTGATCTTCAGCAACTGCATCTGCATTTTCTAAAGCTGTGTGTGTGTCTGCCTTTATTATATACCACCCCATGGCTGGTGTGCAATGTGTTCCAGTAAAAATAATGCACATCTTTATTAAATTTGGTGCATCCTGCTAATTCGGTACACAGCCTGTCAGTCAGGGTTACAACTTTTCCAATCATTGTCTTTTTCACCCTTCAGATGACTTCAATTAGAAAAAGAATATACCAGGAAGAATTCCTTGATTATGGGTTTACCCAAATTGACGACAAAGGAATAATGAAACCACAGTGTGTTGTTTGTTTGAAAGTACTGACTGCAGAATCTTTGAAAAAGAGTCAATTGAAGAAACACTTGGATAATTTGCACCCACATCTGGCTTCAAAACCACGGGAATATTTTGTCAATTTGGAAATGTCTGTCAAAAGACAAAGATTGGACAGCAGCTTTAGAGGTACGTTCAGTCAATGTTCAGCATCCAAGGCTAGCTTTGAAGTGGCCTGGTTGATTGCCCGAAACAAAAAACCTTATACTATTGGTGAGGATTTGGTTAAACCAGCAGCTTTGAAAATGGCAGAGATTATGTGTGGTCAGAATGAAGCCAAGAAACTAAATTGTGTGCCCTTGTCTGCAAGAGTTGTTAAAGAAAGAGTTTCTATTTTAGCAAAAAATGTGAGGCAACAAGTTATTTCCTCAGTAAAAGAGAGTAAATACTTTGCTATTCAGCTAGATGAGACTACGGATGTTAGTAGTAATTTTCAGCTGATGGTATATGTCCGCTACAAAGGTTTACATTTAATTGAAGAGGAATTGTTGTTTTGTTCTCCTCTTGACTTGCGATCTCGTGGAATTGATATCTTCAATAAAGTTAATGAATACTTTAATGACGTCAATTTAAAGTGGGAAGACTGCCTTGCTGTGTCTGTTGATGGAGCTCCAGCTATGTTGGGTCATGTTAATGGTTTTGTGGCTTTTGTGAGAGAGAGAAACCCAAAAGTTGAAGTAAACCACTGTATTATCCATCGCCAGGCTCTGCTTGTGAAACATTTGGAACCTACATTAGAGGCCGTCATGCATGATGTTATGAAGATTGTCAATGTTGTCAAAGGACATGCACTAAACACGCGATTATTTCGTGAATTATGTAAAGCTGGTGATGCTGAATATACAGACCTACTTTATCATACTGAAGTGAGGTGGCTCTCACGTGGAAATGTTCTGAACCGAGTGTGGGCTCTCAAAACTGAACTTGAAAGTTTTATGGTTGAGCAAAAGCATGTTCTTGCAGAGAAGTTTACAAACCCCTTGTGGGTTGCACATCTTGCATATTTAGCGGATATGTTTGAGCATGTTAATGTATTGAACAAAGAATTGCAAGGAAAAAACATAAATATAATTTCAGCCAGAGAAAAGATTTCTGCATTTGGATCAAAGCTTTCATATTGGAGGCAAAAAGTTGAACAGAAAAAGATAGCTACCTTTTCAACGTTAGCTTTGTTCTTGGAAGATTGTGAAAATATTACTTTTGAAGACATCAAGGATACAGTTATAAGGCATCTTACTAAACTCAAAGAGCGGTTCTCTGATTACTCTCCAGATCTTGATTCACATGCTGTCAGTTGGATTGTAGACCCCTTTAAATGTGAAATTTGTGCTGTACCAGAAGAGCCTCAAGGGTTGGCAGAGTCACTTCTTGAGCTTCGATGCAGTAATGAAGCACAGATTGCATTTGAAAACAAAGCAGATCTTTCACATTTTTGGATGTCAACACCTGCAAAGGCCTTCAAAATTGCACGAGGAAGCATTCAAAAAGTTGCTGCCTTTTGCAACAACCTACCTTTGCGAACAAGGATTTTCCACTCTTACGAACATAAAAACAAAGACAAGAAATCGATTGGACCCGGAAGACTGTATCCATATTGCTCTGACATCAAAATGTCCCAATATTGATGATCTCGTATCCAAGATGAAGCAACATCATTTCTCCAAAACCTGAAGTTTTCAAGTAAGTTGAAGCTTTCAAAGTAATTTTAAATACAGTATTTGAATTCAAAATGTTATTGGATGTATGATTTCCTTACTTTCAAATCAAGGGGGTAACATCTGCGTTTATAAATTTTTTGGGGGGTAAGAGGTAAAAAAGTTCCCTGACCCCTGCTCTAATCCATGTCTTTCTGTCTTGTCTTGTAATGCTGAGCATGTATCTTTCCATGGCTCTTTGTGCCACTTATAGCTTTTGTATCAATTGTGAGGTTAGTGTCCATGTTTCACTGGCATATGTTAGAACAGGTAGTACACAATGATCAAAAGCTTTTCTTTTCAGGCATAAGGGAAGGTTGTTCTTGAAAATTATGCTTAGCTTGCAGAATGCCTGCCATCCATATTTAACACGTCGTTCAGTTTCCTTTATTGTATCGTTTTCCATTGAGATTGGTTTACCAAGGTATATGTAGTGGCCTATTAAGTCTAGTTCTTCTCCAGATATACTTTTTTCCCTTGCTTTGGTTAATTTATTAAACATAACCTGGCTCTTTTCAGGTTTATTTTTAAATCAAATGGTTCTCCTGCTTTGTGCAGCTCTTTGTATCCCTTCTGGGTCTTGTGAGAAGAGAACATCATCATCTGCAAATCTTAAGTTATTTAAATATGCACCATTGATTTTTATTCCATCTTTTGCCCAGTCAGGCTGAGAAAAGGATAAGTGATATTGTATTGTATTGTCATATACCTCATTCTACGTTGATTTCTATTTTAAGATCATTAAGACAAATTGTCACCATTTATCTGCTGATGATACTTAATCATATTTCTCATTTTCTGTCCACCTGAATAAAGCTGTCGAGGTTCTATGCCAAGTCTAGACACTGGGGCATGGGAGGGGGGTCTGGATGGTGAAGAATAGGTTTGGCTCAAAACCACCAAGACCGAGAAACTAAAGGTTTTGGCCCACAAGTCCTGGAAGTGGAGATATTTAATCTCTAACTTGGACATGGCTGTCTTATTTGGATTCAGTGTGCAATTTGCTAGAAGACCAGACGTCAGATGGGACCGGATGAAGCCTTTGCACAGTTTCATCTTGTGTATCAATTGCACCCATTTCTGAATCAGGGGGACCTCCTCATGGTCATTCACTTTTTAATGATTATGCAATTGAATTATTATTATTTTTAATTTTATTGATTTTTAAAAACAAACATAAACAAACAAAACATAAAACATAAAACCATAAAGCATCTTTTTTTGAAAGCTGCTTGATCCCAGGATACATCTCTTCGTACAGACACAAATTCAAATTCATGTTCTTTTTTTTAAACAAATTTTATTAATTTTTAAGAAACAATACTTAAACAAACTAAACGTAGAATGTAATAACATAAGGCATCTTTTCTGAAGAAACCAATAAAACATCTTATTTAAAGACAGAATAATTCCAAATTATTACATTTCCATACAAACACAATTTAATGTATATATATTTATCTTATCTATTCGACTTCATATCTTATCCCAACTTCTCTTTATTTCTCCCTTTCCTTCTACTACTCAATTATATTTCTTTTGCCTTAAATTATATATATTCTTTATATCCATCTGTCTTATTTACAATTTCATTATTCTCTTCCAATGTTCTTCTTACATTCTTCTAAAATTTGATTAATTCAGATATAGACAAACAAAACACAAGACATAAATACATAAGACTTCTTTTTGGAAAGCAGCTTGCCCCAGCTTACCTCTTTTTGTACAGACATAAATCAAATTCATGCTCACTTAATATACTATTTCATATCTTATTTGGCATACTGTATTTTCTATATATTTTCTCTCCTATATCTTTTTTACAGACCAAAATCAAATTCATGCTCACCTTAAATACCATTAATTATCTTATTTACCATTCTATATTTTCTGTATAACTTCTCCCCTCTTTACACTCTCTTAATTATATTTTGTTTATGTCATCTTAATTTAAATCATTATACTTGTATCTTTTGTCTGTTCTTTTCCAATTATCTATTTATCTCTTCTCTTTAACAGAAAATTTCCCCTGTAATCACTGGTTAAAGTATGACGCCTTTCTATCTTTCCCATTAATTTAACATTTGAAATAATGCATAATTTCCATTCTGATTCTGCTTAATACATTCTACCTATTACATTTTAAAATAGGAAAATGATGAGTTTATAATATAGATAAATATATAATTTCCATTCTAATTCTGCTTAATATATTATTTAAAGAGACAAAAAACAAAAAAATGAAGTAATAAATTTATAACATTAAAACAACAGCTAATAATTAAACATTTTACAAATTCCCTTTAATGTTTTATTAAATATTGAAATCTATCATTATTAAGTATTTAATATTTTAATATTTTGTTAGATCTTGTAATATTCCAATTTTCTATTTCAAATACAAGTACTGTAATACTATCTTATGTACTTTTGCAGAATCTTTTTTAAATTGTACTTTACCCTTTGTCTCTGAAAAAAATCTGCTTTTTTCCCATCTTGTTTCAAGCCTTTGTGGCGTTTTTCCCCCTTTTCCCCCCTTTTTCCTTCCTTTCTTATCGAATCTAGCCTTTTTGCCACCGCATCTCCTAACCTCCGCCTTTTTAGCTTCCCCTCTCTGTTGTATTCCGCTTTTCTGTTGCTTTCTGACATTGTATCAATTTTTCACCTGATTTTTCTCTTTCTTGGTGGTTTTTTAACTCTTAAATTCTCCACTTTCCTTCCCCTCTTTTCTTCCTTAATTAGTCCATTAAAGATGGCTTCTTCTTCTTCTTCTTCTTCTTCTTCTTCTTCTTCTTCTTCTTCTTCTTCTTCTTCTTCTTCTTCTTCTTCTTCTTCTTCTTCTTCTTTCTCCTCCTCCTCTTCTTCTTCTTCTTCCTCCCAGTCCTCTTGTTGTTGTATTTGTTGATAAGTAGAGATCGCTATTTCTAAAAAATGAAAGACAGCTCCCAAAGAACCATTGCCTTCTTGTTCTTTTTCCTTTAATTTTTCAAATTCCATTTTTAATTCATCCACAGATAATGCTATTATAAAAGCTTCTCCTTCTCCTTCTCCTTCTTCTTCTTCTTTTTAAAAAAAGCAACCCAAATGTTTTAAATCTTAGAGTAGTTTCCAAGAGTCCCAAAGTCATCAAGCAGTTCAAACAGACACAAAATGTTTAATCTTCTTCCCTTTACACTTTCTCCTCCTGGGGCAGTATCAGTTACAAAGTCTCAAAATGTATTTTAAAGCCTTATTACAATTAATTTCTGGTCTTATAATCTTCAAGCGTCACCTCCAGTGAAGTCTTAGTATAATTTTTTTTTTGTCCTCTCCCTTCCCACTTATAACAAAAAGCTTTGGATTTTTACCTTTTATGTAAAAGCATGTTTTTCAATGTCCGTTTGCTATCTCTGTAAGGAAGGAGAGTGAACTTTCCCTTTCAGCACTTTCGTTCGCCGCTTTGAGAGCCTCCTTTGGAAACAATGTATCGTTCAAAAAGTCAGGTTTCCAGGGTGTTTGAATATATCTTAATGTCCCAGTTCAGCCAGAAGACTTTCTCTTTTAAACTCTTCCTCCTGCACAGTCTTAGCCAGTTGAAGATTTCTTTCTGGCGGTCATTGCTGACCGCCACTCCACCGCCTTCAGAAAAAGGAGTCTAGCTGGCTGGGGAGAGGGCTTGTGATGTCCCCAGACCCCTGCCCGGATCTCCTCCAATTGGATCGGGGGTACTCCAGCGGCAAGCGCAGCAGGGACCCGCAGAGTTGCGGATTCCTGCCGCCGCCGAAGCCTTGCAACCGGAAGTTCCAAATTCATGTTCATTCCATATCTTATTACCATTCTACATTTTCTATATAGCTTCTCCCTCGTTTAACTTTCTTAATTTTATTTTATTTATTTCATCTCAATTCAGATCATTATACTTATATTTTTTTGTCTGTCCTGTTTCCAGCTGTCTATTATCTTTTCTCATTAAACAAAATTTCTCCTGTAATCACTGATTGGAGTATGACGCCTTTATATCTTTCCCCTAAATTTATAACACTTAGTATAATACATAACTTCCATTCGGATTCTGCTTAGTACATTCTAAAGTTACACACTATATTTTAAAAAGAGAAAAAATTATAAATATATAATATAATTAAAACAACAATCCATACCAATTCAAAGCTATTGTTAATATTAGTATTCATTTAAATCTTAAACATTTTACACATTACTTTTCAAATAAGTATCATACTTCTATGGGAACACTTATAAACTTTCCATAGTTACTTCCCCCCCACTTCACTCATATTTTAAAACATTATGTCATTAAAATGTTCCCATTCCTTCCTAATTCAATTCTCTCATTTATTTCATTTCGTTTATTTTGTTCACAAAAGTTTCACTGAATTACACTGAGTATTTTATCCTACTTTTTAATCATATGTTGTTTCCAATTTTCTAACATTATTTCTAATACAAATGTAACAATACAATCTTACATACCTTTGCAGAATCACTTTTTCAGTTAAATTTTTACCCATTATCTCTAAATTAGTCCTGTTTCTTTACATCTTGCTCCACACCTTTGTAGCTTCTCTTCCCTTCCTTCCTCCCTTGCTTCTTCTCTCTGCCCTTTTTACCCCCTTGTCTCTCCACCTCCATTTCCCTCTTCTGTGTGCTCCTTTTCTGTTGCTTTCTACCATTATATTCACTTTTCACCTTATTTTTCCCTTTTTTTGGTTGGTTTTTGGAGGTCTTAAAATCTCCATTCTCTTTCCTCCCTTTCCCCCTTCTTCCCTAAGTAAAATTACTTCATCAAAGATGGATTCTTCTTTGTCCCAATCTTCTTGTTGTGCAGTCTTTTCTTGTAGTTTCTCATAGGTACAAATCGCCATTTCTAAGAATTGAAAAATGGAGCCAAGAGAACCCTTCCCTTCTTGTTCCTCTTCTTTATATTTTTTAAATTCCATTTTCAGTTCATCCACAAGTGATGCCATTGTAAAAAAAAATTTCAAACAACCACCCAAGTGTTTTTAGTCATTCAAATATAATTTCCAAAAGTCCCAAAGTCACCAAGCAATCCAAATACACACAGGCTGTTTCTTTTAACACTTTCTTCTTTTTTCACTTTCTCTTCCTGGGGTTACTATTTAGTCACAAAGTTCCAGTTAAAATTTATCTTTTAGAAATCTTGTTAGAATTTAATCAGATTCTTTTAAATTCCAGGCAGTCTCTTCCTTCCAAATCCTACTCTTATTCTTTTCCTCTCTCTGCCCAGTTACAGCAAAAAAACTTTTTTTTTAATGTTCAGAAATCCTTATTGTCCCCTTGACATTTAATTATCCAGTTTAATTACCTCTTCATGCCAAAGAGGGTTTTTCTGATTTCTCGTTCATCTCTGTTGCTGTCAATGTAAGGAAGAAGAGTGAAAAAAAAAACCTTTCCCTTTTCACTTTCATTCGCTGCTTCCGAATCTTCTTTGGGAGTCATGTATCTTTTTTTAAAATTTAAATTCCAGGATACCTTAGTTGTTGCTTCTTATCCTAATCAGCCAAAACTTTCCCTTCTTAACTTCCTCCTAAACTTTCTTTTCCGGATGAGTGCTTCTTTGAGGCGGCCATTTCTGACCGCTGCTCGTTCGCCTTCGGGAAAGGGAGTTTAGCCAGCTGGGGAGGAAAGTTGCGGCTTTCCTCGACCCTGCTGGGATCTCCCCCCTCTTCGCCCCCTCTACGGGGTGGCTTCGCCCTGAAGCCAGACTGGCTCGGGATGCTCCAGCAGTTCCAGCGGACTTCCGGTTTGCAGGGCTTCGATGGCAGGCAGGAATCCATGATCGTGCACGGTTTATGCAATTGAATTATTGAAACGCCCTCTATATAGAGCTCCCTTTAAGAACACCCAGAAGCTTCAATTCAGAATACATGACATGGGTAATTGTTATGTCTCAACTGTATCCCCAGGTGAGCAATCAAAAACAAACCCCAACAAAGATAACTGCTGAGGTTTTTCCAGTCCTCAGCAGTAGTTCTGAAATCCTGAAGTGCCTATAAATCACAATGCCTCAGATAATCTTCACAGTACTTTCGCTCCAACAAGACATTTGCTTCTGGCAAATTTCTCAAGTCAATACGTTTCCTTTTATCCCCTAAAGGGGGCGTGTTAGTCTCATTAATTAATCACTGGCTTGACACTTCTTTCCCAATTGAGATTGACGTCTCAATCTCCATCTATTTCTCACATCAAGCCAAGATCCCTCAAAGTCCTCCTCCTCACTTGAAACCTCTTGCATGTTTTCCTGATTATCTGTTCCCGGTTGCTGTGTTATCAGAGAGGGAGATTCAGGGGTGGACTCTGATACCTTCAATAAATTAGGTTCGTCTCTCATAGCTAAGTCCACTTCCTCATCCTGGCTACCTTCAAAATCACTCAACAATGCAGGCTCAAATCTCAGTGCAAGATCCTCTTCACTCGAGCTCATATCTGCTGACGGACCAGATTCAAATCCCGGAGTCACAACAGGTAATTATGAATATTGCTTGTTGTGCCTTTGCAATAGTTACGTTCTTTGAAATGTTCTGGGTCCCTCTAGTATTCCAGATTCAATTCTTTGTGTTATCATCTATCAAATCTTGCACAACATATATCCAGGTTAGTTGTAATACTACCTTCTCATAAAATATCTGCTCTTCCCATCCCACATGTTCCGACAGGAAGGATACATTTTAAGTCCTTTATCAAAAACAATGTCACCTTGGAGAATCAGGAGTCCCATATATTTTGGCCCTTAGGCTTTTAGAAAAGTTTTTAGAAAATAAGTTAAACTTGGCCCTCTTGCCAAGTTTTGGGTCATGATGACCAAAGTTCTTATTAGCAGAATTCCTATTTAGTAGGATACAACACATTGAATTTCAATTCCAATCAATGTATGTTTCTTTTACTGTATCTTGTTTCAGTTTTATATGCTATTTTGTATTTTTGTGTAAGTTTTGTATAGCTTTGAAAATCATATTGAGTCAGGCAGTTGGTCATGTAAATATAGTAAACTAACCTATTTTCTGGATTTGTTTATTTACACTAGTGTTTAGAATAGAATAGTTAAATGATAGTTCAGATGTTATGGCAAATTTTAACAGCACTCTCAAATTTTAATCAACATGATAAATAGTTTGCAAACGCTCATAAAAAGTTATCAATTTATTATTTAGAACTTCAGTGACAGATCTCTCTTGTTGATTCTGGATATAAGGAACGTTTCATATGTACATATTTAAAATGTTGTATCTTATTTGCTTAGGTAACAAAGTTTTATGCAGCTATATTCGCAAGAGTTTTGGTGACTACCAAGATACAAAAATATAAAAGGACTGCAAATAAAACAAAATATATGCCATCAGTCCACAAAAGCCCTCAGGAAATGCTATCATCTTTAGCCTTGCCTTAAAGGCAGCAGTGTGGGAGACATATCTGCAAAATTGTAAGGTAGCCTTCTTTGAGCTGGTGCCCCCTAGATAGGTTGTTTACTGTATTCTCCACATTTATTAAAAATTCAAGGTAGAAAATACACACTATACTCCTTCCTCCTATTTTTCCCACAACAACAACGGTGAGGTGAATTGGGCTGAGAGAAAAAGAAAAGGCGAGACTGGTCCTATATCACCCAGCCAGATTTCATGACCAAGGTGGAACTAGAATTCATAGTTTCCTGGTTTCCATGATGCCTTAACTGCTAGACCAAACTGGCTGTATGTATGTTGGGGCTATAATTCCCAGTGTTGAACGTTCTACTTATTGTCATGATTAATACTATTGCAAACATGAATTAAGTTATAAGGGAATGGATGGAAAAACAATGGCACAAAAAATTTGGTGTGTGTGAAGTGCTGTACCAATCTCTTCAATGTACCACACATTGGTTTGTTATCTTTTATTAAAACTAATATTGCAGGCTATCAAATATATGAAAAACACATAAAGAAACTGTGAGAGATGAAGATAGAATTGGACGTTTTGTTTCAGCTGTGTGTGTTTTTTTAAACAGGGATGTCTCGTATAATCAAATCCAGACCATTGAGGCAAATGCATTTGAACATCTTCCATTTCTGGAATCTGTGTAAGTCACTAAACAAAAAACAAACAAACAAACAAAAAGCTTAAACTATGATGGAAATTGGGGAAGGAGGCAAACTGAAATTGAATGCTGTTAATTCTCCCAGTTGTGTAAGTATCAATGACTTATTACTGAAAGGTTGGTTGTCTCACAACTATTTTTTTTTAATGGGGAAGGAGAGCTTGAACTCAAGGTTGAAAGAAGCAGCTTTCTCCTTAGAGGACTTGATCTATAGTCCCAGGTAGGACAGGTGACACTTTGCATGTTCTGCATGTTCTAAGAAGTACCCTGAATGAATTTGGACTGAAACCTGGGATCTAAGTGGATCAAGATTCAGTTCTAGGCTTGATAATGGATGCCAGAGCTGAGTTTTCGTAAGTGGGAAAACACTACAGTGTTTTTCTGGAGTTACAGGTCTTACTGCGAACTTGAAATCTCTAGAGTCAAACACTCAAACTATATTGCCCTTTGAATAATGAGCTCTACATTCCTATTAAATAACGTTAGCCCATTAATAACACTCCAATCCCAAATATGCATTGGAACTTCTGGACTGAAGAACTGGCACAATAATTGGTGGAAGCCTGGAATGGTTATTTAGAATATCAAAGTGATAGTACTTCATTGAAAAAAGGAAGAAATAATCCTCATATATGGCTGTAGCGTAATTCTCACATCACCATTCAATAAGGAAGGAAAAAAAGTTCCTTTTGTTCTGCCTTGTTTTATGTGTTTTTTTTATATATAGTTGGAAGATATCTACATAGCTCTCTTGCTTTAATTTCCTTTCCAGCAATCTCAGTGGCAACTATATTTCACGGATAATGCAGGGGGGCTTTCAGGCCTGGCATGGGATGCTGTTTCTATCCAAGGTGTAAGTAAAAGTGAAACTCTTTCAGATAGTGGGTGAGACAGATGATTTCTAACAATGGGACACAAAGTCTCCGCTAATGCTTGAAGGAGATTAACAGGCTTGTTTGATGGATTTCATCCCAAACGCTATTGTTTTGAAGCCTCTGAGTAGGGACAGCCATCACAGTCTAAGTTGATCTCCAAGCCAGACATCCTGATCTCCAAACCTATCTGTTAAGTTTGGGTAATGAGAGGCTGAACCAGGGCATGGGTGCAACAAATACTTTATTAGGATAATAAAGGACTGAACGTGCTAGCCAAGCCTGGAACTGGCTCGCAGCGATCAGCAACTGGTTGGACCCCGCAGCCTGCTTTTATAGCTGGCTGCTGGGGAGATCCAACCAATGAGCGAGGGGGCAGCCGCCCCCGCAGCACGAACGGACCTGAGTGGGAACTCCTTTGAGTTCCAGGGACATCACCCCTTTCCCCCAGATGCGAACACACATAGTCTTTAAGGTAGGCAGGAGGTTTATGCTGGCGCCCAGAACGGCGCAACTCTGGTGGGTTGTCTGTCAGTTCAGAGTCTGTAAGGAAAGGCTGGATCGGTAGGGAGTCACGAACGCGTCCCTCGGTCCGGGTTGGCTAGGGATTCGTAGGGCTGGTCACTGGGGACGTGCTCCCGTTGACTGGTTCGGACTGGTCAGCCATCTGGAAGTTGCTGTCCATGTTCGGATTCCCTGACTCGGCTGCTGGTGTAAGCAGGTCACCGGAATTGGTGCTGATGTGGGGTTGATGCTGTGGCCTTGCCCCGGTCTGTAATTCTGAGTCACTGCTGACGAGAGTGCTGTGGCGCCTCCGCAGCTGGTCCAGGTGCCTTTTCCAGACTCGGCCGTCCTCCAGTCTGACCCGATATGACCTGGGCCCGGTGATGGCCACGATCTCACCCGGGATCCACAGAGGGTCTCCAGCGAAGTTCCTCGCGAACACGGTTTCCTGTAAGACAAAATGCCTAACCCCCGATGTGGAAGCGAGGGGAGAGTCAGGGCAGTAATGTGGGTGAAGCCTGTCCAATACAGTCCGCAGGCGTCTGCCCATCAGGAGCTCAGCTGGGGACTTATTAGTGACTGTGCACGGGGTTGAGTGCTGGCTCATCAAGAAACGGGAGAGTTTGTGGTGCCAGTCTTCCTTGCTGAACCTAGCTAGAGATTTTAGTGGTCCTAACGGCTCTTTCAGCCAATCCGTTACTGGCAGGATGAAAGGGGGCCGTGAAGATGTGGCGGATGCCCAGATTGGCAGCGAAATGGCTGAACTCGGCTGATGCGAACTGGGGGCCATTGTCAGAAACAATAGAGTCTGGAAGCCCGTGTGTTACAAACAGGCGAGTCAATACCTTGGTAATCGCTTGTGTGGTGGTTGTGGATAGTTGTGCCACGTCAATCCACTTAGAGTAAGAGTCCACGACCACCAGGAACATTTTTCCGTGCAACGGGCCTGCTAGGTCGATGTGAATCCTGGACCACGGAGCGCTGGCGCTTTCCCACTTAGTGGGGGTGGCAATTGGAGGGGCTGGATGGGATTCCTGGCAGGGATGGCAGGAGCTTACCCATCTGATGATGTCTTCGTCGAGGCCCGGCCACCATACGTAGCTGCGTGCTAATGCCTTCATTCTGACGATGCCAGGGTGCCCTTCGTGCAACGCCTCCAGAACTCTGGTACGCAGTGAGGTCGGGATGACCACTCGTGTGCCCCACAGCAAACAGCCCTGCAAACAGGATAATTCCTGTAGGCGGGTCTTGAAAGGTGTAAATTTGGTTTCAACATCACCGCCCGGCCACCCCCTCCTCACCCAGTCCAGTACCTGGGCGATCGTTTTGTCAGTCTTGGATTTGGCCGCAATGTCAAGGGCAGTGATGGGGAGGTCCAATTGGGTGACCTCAAAGATAGCATGGACCGGTGCAGGGTCTTCAGCTGGAGCAGGCAGGGGGCAGCGGCTGAGGGCGTCTGCGTGGGACAATGTTTTACCTGGCCGGTGTGTGAGTCTATACGAGTATGCCGCTAGGAAAAGAGTCCATCTCGTCATTCTAGGAGACAGGACTTGAGGGGTCTGTTTGTCCCCAGCTAGTAGACCCAGGAGAGGCTTATGATCCGTGACCAGCTCGAAAAAGTGGCCAAAGAGAAATTCGTGAAATTTCTTCACTGCTGCGACAGCTGCTAGAGCTTCCTTATCGATTTGGCTATAATTGCGCTCTGTCGCAGAGAGCGTCCTGGAAAAAAAAGCGATGGGAGTCTCGGAGCCATTGGGGAGCCTGTGGCTTAACACTGCCCCAATTCCAAAAGGGGATGCGTCTGCTGCTAGGACTAATGGAAGGTTGGGGTCGAACTGAATAAGGACCGCCTCTGACGTGAGTAGTGATTTGACTGCGCGAAAAGCGGAGTCTTCTTTGTGTCCCCAGTGCCAAGGCGATTTTTTATCCAAAAGTCTGTGCAGGGTTCTGCCACTGATGCTTTATGGGGCAGGAAGGATGCGTAAAAATTCAATAGCCCCAAGAAGGCCTGCAGTTCCGCTTTGGAGGTTGGAGTGGGTGCCTCGTGAATTGCCTTAACCTTGGACTCCAGGGGGTGAATGCCTGAGGCGTCAATTTTATAACCCAGAAAGTCCACCTGTCTAGTGGCAATGGCACATTTTTCTTTTTTTAATTTGAGGCCATGCTGTCTGAACCTCTCTAACACTGCTCGAACTCTCTGGAAGAGTTGGGGTCTGTCCCTGGCCGAGACTAAGATGTCGTCGAAGTAGGGTACTACACCAGGGAGGCCCTGCAAAATCCGCTCCATGAGGGATTGAAAAATGCCTGGGGCAACACTTACGCCAAATTGGAGACGCTTGCACCGGAAGGCACCCCTGTGGGTGACAATGGTTTGGAGTTCCGCTGTTTGGTTGTCAACAGGGAACTGTTGATACGCTTGAGACATGTCCAATTTGGCAAAAATACTGCCAGGTTCAAAAGTGTGTAATAAATGCTGAATGACGGGTACTGGGTAAGCGCTGACTTGTAAAAACTTATTGATTGTCGTTTTGTAGTCCAAGCAAATTCTCAGGCTACCATCTTTTTTGAGGGGTGTGACAATGGGCCTCTCCCATTTGGCGAAATCTGTTGGCTCAATGACCCCTTGTTTTAATAATTTATCCAATTCCGCATCTAATTTAGGTCGAATGGCGAATGGGACTCTACGAGGTTTTAGCCTGATTGGGACTGCTTGGGGGTCGACTGAGAATGAGATAGGGGTACCGTTATAACACCCCAGCTCATCGCTGAATACATCTGAGTAGTCAGCGAATAAGGAGTCAGTGTCAGAGGTTGAGACAGCATGGACTCCTGTTAGTCCTAGGCCGAGATGGGGAAACCAATCAAGCCCCAAGAGTGTGGGGAGGTTGCCGTTAACTACCACTAGAGGTAGGTGGCCTTTGAAAGTTTTAAAATTGACAAGGAACTTGCCTCTGCCGATTACAGGAATGTCCTTCCCCTGGTAGTCCTTCAGGCTAAACTGGCACTTCTGGAGCCGGCTTCTTGATAGACTGGGCTGTAGCCTCTTGAGGGTGCTCCACGAGATAATTGAGAGCGCTGACCCCGTGTCAACCTCCATGCGACAAGGTTTACCTTCTAACAAAACGGAGAGAGAGGTTTTACTAATGGTATGGCAAGTGTGCTTGGCATGGTGGTGAGTGCGACAGTTCAATACTTGCCTTTGAGGTCCAGAATGTGAGAAGGGAGGGTGCCTTTGTGCCGAGTTGTGAGAGGCTTGACAGACTCTAGTGATGTGCCCCTTTTTGTGGCAGATGTTGCAGGTGGCTCCCTTGAATTTGCAGGTGGCCCTCGGGTGAGATCCACCACAGGATAGGCACAGGGTGAAGTGCTTGGGTGGACTGATGCTTTCTTGCCTGGCTCCTACCTGTGGTTGTCTGGCGTTGGTGAGGCGGTGGATGTCGGTTGCATCACTGGGGTCTTCTTCTATGACCACCTCTTCGGAGTGGACTGGAACTGCCATTAGCTTGGAAGTAGGACCTTGGATTTCGGTGGCTGAGTGTGCTGCCAGCTCTGCTGCCAGGGCCTCCTCGACGGCTTGTGCGAGGTTGAGGTCCTTCTTAGCGAGCAGGCGCCTTTGGAGGTGAAGATCCTTGACTCCGCAGACTAGCTGATCGAGGAGCATGTCCTCCAGGTAGGTTCCAAACCCACAATGGAGTGCTGCAGTCCTGAGGGCGGCCATGTACTGGTTGATGGTCTCTTTGTCTGATTGCTTCCTCATACGGAAGGTGAATCGCCTGGCAATCTGTGAGGGTCTGGGAGAATAGTGGTTAGTAAGGATTTCTAACAGTTCTGACCAGGGGACGTTTTTTAACTCACGTGGAGCCACGAGTGCTGTGGCAGTGTCAAAGACAATGGCCCCACAGTAGATCAGGAAATATGATTTTTTCCGGTGCTCCCCTGCATCAGCCAGCCCAATTGCGTCGATGTAATGGTTAAAGCGGTTCTTGTATGACTCCCACTTCTCCTCATCCGGCTTGAACGCTGGGAAGACTGGGTTGGAATTCATAGTGAGGAAATCAGGTTGTGTAATCTGTTGGAAAAATCTCTCTGGGGCAGCAGCAGGAAGGTTTCTTGTGCCTGTGGCAGGCAAGTGACTTCAGCTCTGGAGAGGCTTTTCACAACTCTCTCTCTCTCTCTGGGCTAACACGAGGTTAGGCTGCACGGCCGTTGGCAGCGTTTTGAAATTCGCGCCTGCGTGGGCGTCAGTGACTTTGAATTACAGCACCGCGCTGTACTTTTAGGGCAGAAATTCAAATGACAGCCGTTTGAATTTCGCGCCTAAAGAAACGAGCGGCTGCGGCTTGCAGCGCTTCACTTTCCCTGTAGCTTGGCTAACAAGCAGCTACAGACGCTTCTCACTCTTGCTGCTTGCTGACCGCTCTCTCTGGCTGCGGATCAGCGTTCGCTTTCGTTGTCTGCTGATCGTTCTCTCTAGCTGTGGATCAGCGTTTGCTCTTATTGCCTGCTGATCGCTCTCTCTGGCTGCGGATCAGCGGCTAGTGACTCAGCGGTTGCAATGTGCCTCTGGTAGCCATCCCACCTTCGTCACCAGTGTTAAGTTTGGGTAATGAGAGGCTGAACCAGGGCATGGGTGCAACAAATACTTTATTAGGATAATAAAGGACTGAACGTGCTAGCCAAGCCTGGAACTGGCTCGCAGCGATCAGCAACTGGTTGGACCCCGCAGCCTGCTTTTATAGCTGGCTGCTGGGGAGAACCAACCAATGAGCGAGGGGGCAGCCGCCCCCGCAGCGCGAACGGACCTGAGTGGGAACTCCTTTGAGTTCCAGGGACATAACACTATCTGTTATTTCTGGGATATTTTTTTATATTGTTATGACTTTACACCTCACTTTTCCAATAACATTAGTTCTGCCTATAAGTATTCCACACTGCTTCCTTGGAGTAAGTAATAACTAGCATTTTGTGATAAATTCCTTCTTAACTATACAAATGTACAACAGATAAGTGGAGATTCATAGCACTATTAGCACACAATGATCCTTCAATTCATTATTTCCAAAATATGTCCTTAAGGCAAGCCACCAAAATACAAGTGATGGAATTTTAAGGGAGCCCTCTGAGATACTATGGATTTTCTCAGAAACCCCCTTTTTCACAGTGTTCATACAACTCATCCCTAGAGAGAGAAGGGAAGGAAACATGCCTCCATATCAATTTTTAACCTTGACTTTTGACAAAAAGATAAGTGCTATAGTAGAATCCTTCACAAATTTAAACCTATATTGATAGAAACCTCATTCTCAAAAATATGGAAGTAATTGGAAAATATTCCATGAAAACAATAATCTCTCAACTTTGGTTAGTATTAAATTTATTATTTAGCCTGTAAAATTTGAGAAATAGCCTTTGATGGAAGAGGATCATTTGGGAGAAGACCAAATAAGAATTTAAGTAAGAGTACATATTTGTCTTATGAAGAAAAACTATAAGAATAACTTATAGACAGTGGGTTATTTTTATCCCACTGCCAGGATGATAGCTTTCTTGTTGGAAGAACAAGGATCTTAAAGAATAGGAAAATTTTAAGGCTAAGTAAGCAATGGATTCTTTAGGAAGGATTGAACTCCTAAATGATAAAGTCACGTCATCTTGTGTGATGGATGTGGGAGATTTGATAAATAGAAACACAGATGGGTTAATATTAAATTTGTCTAATGGATACCATAATTGTTAGGTGATGGAGGGAGACAAAAAGGCTGTGAAAAGGGCTCACATCAAAAAGAACATTGAGTATCTATGACATCTATCTATCTATCTATCTATCTATCTATCTATCTATCTATCTATCTATCTATCTATCTATCTATCTCTATCTATCTATCTGATTTCTTGTTGTTACCTGAATCCGGAACATTGTATGGACAAATAAAGACTCATATGATCATTACCTTGAGACCTTTGTTTCCCTTCCTGACTGGAATTCGGCAAAACAGCTGAGACTAGCATAAGATCCTATGGAACAAGTAGAGAACATTGGCCACATTATTGTTACATTTAACATACATGCAATCATATTGACCTCAAAGGAGATTGCTCAGAAATGAGAGGCTGATTTTAAAAAAAACTTTTGAATAAATTTGGTGGTAATAGGAACCTGTTCTTCAATTAAATAGAAAAACAGAAAGGGAAAACGAACAAATGCATAAGCAGGAATAGATTTAGGAGACTTGAAATGTAGCATTTCATCTGGTGCCAAATAAACCAAACAAATTCCTTACCATAAAAAGCAGCAAATATTAATTTGGATAACTCTAAAGGAGGAGGAAAGATCCACGAAAGCTTTTTAGTCTTGAAGACTCAGTGAATGTTGCTGTGTATAAGAGCATGCCAGGATTTTTTGTCTGAAAGTGAGAACTAAGTATGCCAGATAAATATGAAAAGTAGAATGCAGTGGAAATGGGTTACTTAAGAAGTATATTGCTTCTTAAAAAGAAATCATAGGACCCATAAGGAATTGATGATGAACAAATATGGATTAAACACAAAAGTAATTAGCCAGTATGTAAGAAATAGCATATGTAGAAATGGTTTAGACTGAATGAGAATTGAAATTCAAAGCAAGAAGGAAAGAGGACTGGGAGAAAAGGAAAACATGACTGGATGGAGTTGATGAGAGTCTCAAAAGAGAGAAGTGAAAAATAATAGGAAAGATATAGGATGGGTAAGAATGTGATGAAAACAAGGATGCTTGGCAAGATAGAAAGATGCAGAGAGATATAGTAAATATGTTAATATATACTGGATTTATATTTCTTTTCTCAGATCTCCTGACTATAATTTCTTTTGCTTATTACTTCTTACTAGAAGGATTAATAATTAATAATAATATTTAAGATCAAAGACCAAAAGAAAATATAATTTGTTGCTTATAACTACCCAAATTCTTCCTGTTTTATTCTGCTACTCTCAATTTTGCCAGGCCGATAACCAGCTCTTTCGTCTTTCAGGATTCTCAACCGTAATCCACTGAGAGAGATTGAGGATTCCTACTTCTATAAATTGCCCTCACTGGAATTCCTGTATGTGTGAAGCTGCTCTTGGCTTTATTAAGAGTTTGTTTACTCTAGAACAAGTATTCAGCATTTTTTCCTGATTCCGTCGCCTTGGGCTATTATATATGAAAATCAGTGTGACCCTCAATTAGGGTCAGAAAAATCAAAGTCCAGATTTTCTTATTCATAGCATAACCATGAACTAGTCATTAACGTTTAGCTATCAGTTGTCCAGATCAGGAAAAATATTCACAAGAAGTCTAGATTATAGCTGTTCAGTAAATACATCACTTTACAGAGTTATTTTTGTGAGGAGAAAACAAAATAGGCATGCATTATGTAGGTATGTAGAAAAGAGGAAAAGCAGTAAGGAAACACTGTATATATTGTTTTCGTAATTGGAAGCATTTAATTACATTATGATAGATTTTTAATCCTGGATCTCATGCCTAGGCCGGTATTTATGAGTGCATCCATGGAACTACATGAAGTTGCTTTAATTCTGTTAAATTATCCCAATTAATTTTGTATCCAGTGGAAGACGTTAGGCAAATTGATTTATAAAGATAATTCTTAGACCAAGCATTAAAGCTCAAGTCTTGTTCAAAATCAACAGTTAGTATTTTTATGTGGTATGAACTTATCACAAGATCTATTTATTTCCTCATAACAAAAACCTTGTGAGGTGGGATGACTGAGAATGAGAGACTGATCCAAAATCACCCAGGGAGTTTGGACAATTAAGTGGAGACTGGAGCTTGGGTCTCCCAATGCCCATGTCAGCCCTTAACCTCTACACAGAGGTCCCTGACACTCCTATGGAAACCAATGCCAACAATCTCAGTGATAGGCTGTAATCAGGGATGGGATTCAAATTTTTTAACAACTGGTTCTGTGGGCGTGGCTTAGGTGGTGGGTGTGGCTTGATGGTCATGTGACTGGGTGGACATGGCTGGGTGGTCATGTTATTGGCTGAGCGTGGCCAACTCAATATCACTCACATCAAGGCACGCATCTCCTCGCCTGGCCTCTCATGACTGTGAGGATGCTGCAACAGTCGTAAGTGTGAAAAAGGGTCATGTCACTTTTTTCAGTGCCATTGTAACTTTGGTCACTCCACACAAGCAAAGTACCAGCAAAGGAGTGGAAAAAAATCCAGAGATGTTCTTGAGACAGGAAGTCTAGTCCTGCCAAGAATATAATAAGGGTTAACGGAGAGGCAGTTTCTGTAAGCAACACCAGAATGTTTCCTTCCTGACTTCCTTACAGGATTAGGCCAGTAAATTCTTCTAACAACCTGTTCTCCAAACTGCTTTGAATGTTAACAACCGGTTCTGGTGAATAGGTGCAAACTGGTAGAATCCCACCCCTGGCTGTAATTATTTAATAGCAAGAAAAATCTCTATGTGTACTTCTTATTTTAAGCATTGCTTCACATGTGAAGGTCTGATATCATTTGAAACTCAGCTTCCATTCCAGCTTTACATTATGAAGAATTGTATACAGTATCATTCAGCAACAGCAGTCCCTTTTCTACGTTCTTACAGCAGCTGATCCAATCATTTTATTACTTTTAAATTACCATATTGTTATTTGTGTCCCTTTCCCCAAAGAGCTCAGGGAAGTGGAAATAGTAATAGCTATTCATTTTTGAATATAAAATCTAACAATCTAATTAGATAAACTTGAGTTCATAACACTTAAATTGGTAGTTGAGTATGAAAAATGGCTACTAAACATGCATTGTGTTTGTTCGGTGCACTGACTGAAAACAAACAGGCTGGAAATATAGATTATGCTAAGCCACAAAAGTTTAAAGTAAGATTTAAAATAACCTATTTTTATCTATTCTATGACTATAGATGCTTGGTCTTTAATTTACATTATAGTTATAATTTACATTATTTACATTATGTTGTAAACCCAGTTATAAAGGGATAACCAATGAGATGAAGTCTCCCATTCAATATCATGAATGTATTTTCCCTGACTCTGTTCTGCAAATTATCTTCTCTCTCTATCTTTGGAAAAGTCTGCATGTCCTTTTTTTTTTTTTTTTTTGCAGGGACCTTAGTTCTACAGAAATAACTCCAGACATATTACAGAATTTGCTCAAAATTTCCTTGAAGTTGAAAACTCTGTAAGTACTTTGGACCTTTTTATCTGTATTTCCCAAGGACAAAATGAAACAGACAAAATCTTACTCTTCTCCTCCTTCCCAACATTTCTGAAAATGGTAGAACAGATGTTTCCATATGGGAAGCTTTTTACTAATATTAAAACTAGTAGCTCAAGTTGGTACCAATTCATATTTCCTGATAAAGATGCTCAATTATCATGGACGTTTGCTATGAATATGGTGGTTGTCCCAGAATGTTTTCTGTCCACAATGCTTTCCAGAATATCCCAGAGTTCCTCAAAACCTATCAATTAAAGTTTATTAACGTAAACATCAAACTGGCAGCTGGGTTCCCTTGCAGATAGCTTGTACATTGCTGCCAATCTTGCTCTCTCAAAATATATAACATAAACTATAGAGAAGGGGGGACATGGTGTCTCAGTGGCTTAGACACTGAGCTTATCGATCAAAAGGTCAGCAGTTCAGTGGTTCGAATCCCTAGCGCCGCATAACAGAGTGAGTTCCCAGACAGCGCTGGCTCTTCGGCTTAGAAACGGAGATGAGCACCGTGCCCTAGAGCTGAAAATGACTATCATTACCTTTATAGGAAAGGGGGGTAAAGCAGGGACATTCATGGAATATTCCATTATATATGTAACACTGAATACCGATAGGGAGTTTAGGATTAAAAGTGGCCTGCAAAAATACTTTTTTCCCCCCCAAGTTTTTTATTTGTATTTTTTACACAACTCTTCATGTGAGCAACGTGGTTCCAGATTACAATATTTATACGTAGTCATAGTTACATTTTAAACTTTCTTAATTAATATCTCAAATTATTATCCTTCAACTAATCTTTAGATAAATTTCCCTTTCATATTTCAATTCATGAATTCAAGATCAAAATCATTTCATCCTCACATATATTTTCAATTCTTTATCCCCTATTATTTCCATTTTCAGCTTACCACCCATTTTATGTTACATTATGTATTGTTATCATCTATAATTTTCTCAAGACCAATATATAATTAGACAGTCAATGAAAGAAAAAAATGAGTAAAAGTAAAGTAAGATTAGCACATTTAGGATCCATGTGGTATATCCCACCATCTACGATATATCTTATATATATATTCCAGAGATATTCATATAATCATTTCATATTTTTTCTTTGTTTCCACTTAGTCAAAAATATAATACATTCATTATAAATATTTTACATTCCCACATAATCCCTTCTAGTTCATGTTTTCTATTTTCTCATATCTTTTGTATAATCAATTGCATTTTCTCTTACATGTATACCACAAAGAAAAAAAATAAAAATAAAAATAAAAACAGACTTAATTTCCCCTTTTACTTCCCTTTAACCAATTTCAACCTATAGCATTTATATAACCCTAATTCACGTTTTTTATTTTTATTTTTTTAAATAAAGTTTTATTTGGGTTTTCACACATACAAAATACAAGTAAAACATCTTTTTTGAAAATAGCATGGTCCCGATTGAACTTCTTTATACAGACACAAAACACAATCTCATGCTCCTTTTTGTGTTCCATATCTTATACTATTCTACATTTTCTGTATAGTTTTTCCCCTCTTTTAATTTTCTCAATTTTATTTTGATTATCTCATCTCAATTCAAATCATTATATTTATACTTTTGTCTGTTCTGTTTCAATTTCATGTTATCTTTTCTCATTAAACTAATTTTCTCCTGTAGTTACTAATTGGAGTATGACACCTTTATATCTTTTAATTACATCCATTCAACTCTTATTTAAACTTCAATATATACCTTAAGGTTATGACCTTCAATATAATACATAATACATAACTTCCAATCGAATTCTGCTTGGTACATTCTTATAATACACACTATATTCCTAAAACACAAAAAAAGATTATAAATATATGTTATTATAAACCCTCATTCCATTCCAGTTCAGTTCTATCAATAATCATTAAAATCTTAACATCTTTAACACTTCTTTTCAATTAAATATCATACTTTCTTAAAAACACATTCAATCGTAATTAATTTTTCCCTTATTTCTCTTCACATATGTTTTATAAATCATTAAATATACCTTTTATTACATTTATTTATTGACAAGCATTCCACTGAATTACGATAGCTATTTTATCAGACATTTTAATCATACATTGTTTCATATTTTCTAAAATTATTTCTGTTTCTAATATAACCATACTATCTTATGTACCTTTGCAGAATCCCTTTTTCCATTAAATTTTCACCCCTTATCTCTAAATAGGCCCTGTTTCTCTATATTTTGTTTCTGTCCTTTATGATTTCTTTTCCTTTCTTTCTTCCCTCTCATCTTCTCCCTCCCCTTTTTACCCCCTTGTCTCTCTACTTCTAATTCTCTCTTCTGCATTTCCCTCTTCTGTTGCTTTCTGATTTTATATTTATTTTTCATTCTATTTTGGGGGGAGTTGTTTTTCCCAATCTTAAACTTTCCATTCTCTTCCCCCCGTCCTTTTTTTCCCCCATTTAAGATGACTTGTTCATTAAAGATGGCTTCTTCTTTGTCGCAATCTTCTTGTTCTGCAGACATTTCTTATTGTTTCTCATAATTCCAAATTTCAATTTCTAAAAATTGAAATACGAAGCCAAAAGAACCTCTCCCTTCTTGTGCATCTTCTTTGTACTTTTTAAGTTCCATTTTCAGTTCTTCTAAAAGTGGAGCCATTTTAAACAGTTTTAAACAACCACCCGATTGATTTTAGTCATTCAAATACAATAACCAAAAATCCAGAAATCATCAAGTGATGCAAATAGTCCCGAGTTATTTCTTATTATTTTTTTTTCAACTTTCTCTTCCTGGGGTTTTTGTTGTGATATTTCAGTTAAAATGTAGTTTTTGGAAGTCTTGTTGAGATTTTGCTGTATAAGTTCTTTTCAATTCCGGGCAGTCTTCTCCCTTCCAGACCCTGCCCTTTTATTCTTCTCTCCTTTCCTGTTTTCAAAAGCTTTTGATTATCCAGAAATCTTTATTATCCCTTTGACTTCTTATTTTCAGCATTAAATGCCTATTAATGTCAAAGTGGATTTTTTCCCAATTTCTTGCTTAAGTCCCTTAGCTGTCAGTATAGGAAAAAGAGGAAAAAAACCCAAATCTTTTCCCTTTTCTCTCTCCTTCGCAGCTTAAAAATCTTCTTAGGGAACAATGTTATTTTTTTTTAATAGTTTCAATTCCAGGATACCTTATTTGTTGCTTTTGCTGTTTGACCCGTCAACCAAAACTTTCTCTTCTTATCTTCCTCCTGCACATTCTTTTCCAGTCGAGTTCTTCTTTGTAGTGGCCATTTCTGACCACTGCTACAACTGCCTTCAGGAAAGGGAGTAATGGCCAGCTGGGGAGGAGAGATGCGGCTCTCCTCAACAGTGCAGGCAGTCTCCCACCTCTTCACCACCTCTACGGGGTGGCATAGCCCCGAAACCAGACGGCTTGGGACGTTCCAGTGGTGAGCACAGATTGAAGCTTCACAGAGACGAGGCTTCGGTCTGCCGCCGAAGAGGCTCAAACCAGAAGCCCCTAATTCACATTTTTAAAACATAAATACCGGATTTTTGCCCAAGTCAACATATTCTCTGTTTTCCTAATATCATTTAGATAGTCATTAGCATATTAGTAACAATAGAACCCTCTTAATATCTCTCACTCCTTCTTCATTTTTCTCATCTATAATTATCTAATAATCTTAAAGTAATTCCCGGTAAGTTATAAACTTCAAATCTCCCATGTCTACATTTTTAATAAAAAATATAAAGATACATTCCATGTGGTATCCCCCTTTTATGCTATATTTATTTATTTATTATTTGTCAAGAGCTTACAAGATAATAGGTATAAGTAAAAACCTAGTTATGAATACATGGGTACATATAAGAAAAATATAAAAATATAAAAGAAACAATAGGACAGGTACGGTAGGCATGTTGGTGTGCTTATGCATGCCCCTACAGACCTCTTAGGAAAGGGGTGAGGTCAATAGTAGATAGTCTAAGGTTAAAATTTTGGGGGTTTGGGGGAAAAAACCACAGAGTCAGGTAGAGTATTCCAGACATTGACCACTCTGCTGCTGAAGTCGTATTTCCTGCAATCAAATTTGGTGCAATTAACCTTGAGTTTGTATCTTTTGTTTGTTCTAGTGTTGTTATGGATGAAGCTGAAGTATTCATTGACTGGTAGGGTATTGTAATGTATGATTTTATATACAATACTTAGATCAGACTGAAGGTGGCGTAGTTCTAGGTTTTCGATGTCTAGAATTTTGAGTCTCATGGCATAAGTTATTCTGCAATGAGTAGAGGAATGGAGAACTCTTCTTGTGAAATATTTCTGGACTTTCTCAGCTGTGCTAATATCAGATACATAATGTGGGTTCCAGACTGACGAGCTGTATTCAAGTATAGGTCTAGCAAATGTTTTGTATGCCCTAGTTATTAGTGTAATATTACCAGAGAAAAAGCTATGCAAGATTAGGTTAACAACTCTTAACACCCTTTTGGCTATGTAGTTACAGTGGGCTCTAGCACTTAGGTCATTTCAGATAAGTACTCCAAGATCCTTAACAGAGTTTGGATCATCAACAAGGTCTTGACTTTCAGCTTGTATTTTATTTTCTGATTTTTTTTGCCAATATGTAGGACAGAGCATTTATTTATTGAGATTTGAAGTTGCCATTTGTTTGACCATTCTGATACATAGTCAAGGTCTTTTTGAAGGGTAGCAGTATTGTCTGTGGTGTTGAATAACTTTACATCATCAGTGAAGAGAACGCAGTTGCTCTTGATATGATCACAGAGGTCATTTATGTAGAGTATGAAAAGAGTTGGTCCTAGAACACTGCCTTGGGGGACATCACTGTTGACAGGTACAGAATTTGATAGGATGCTCCCAATTTTGAAAATTTGTTGTCTGTTTGACAGAAATACTTCTATCCAGTTATGCAGGTGTCCAGAGATACCGTAAGATTTTAGTTTTAGGAGTAGCTTGTCGTGTACCACTGAATCAAAGCTTTACAGAAGTCTATGTAGATTGCATCTATTGCTTTGCCCTGGTCAAGTTGAGTAGTCCATATGTTTTTGCAGTGTAAGAGTTGCAGATTACAGGATAGTTTTTTCCTAAAACCAAATTGTTTATTAGAAAGAAGGTTGTTTGTTTCTAAATGGAGGATGATGGATTGGTTAATAATTGATTCCATGACTTTACAGGTGATGCAGCATAAAGAGATTGGTCTGTAATTATCAACTAGGCTGGGGTCGCCCTTTTTGAAGATGGGGATGACCATCGCTAGTGACCAAAGGTTTGGCAAGGAGCTGGTCCTGAAAGATTTTTCAAAGATTATGCTTAGAGGTTCGGCTATGGCAGTAGATAGCTTTTTTAAGAAGTAGGCACATATTTTGTCCAGTCCAATAGATAGAGATGGTTTTAGATTGCATAGTGCTTTTTCAACTGTCTTCTGTAAAGTCAACATGTATTAGATCATTGTAGTTGTCTGTGGTTCAGCTAGGAAATACTGGGCATGATCCATTGTTGTTTACAATTACTGAGCCAAAGAATGTGTTAAAAAGGTTTGCTTTGAAGGTGGTGTCGTTGCAGTCTTTACCATTAGGTCCTTTCAGGGGTGGGATGGACCTTGAGTCTTTTAGTTTGTTGTTTACAAAATTGTAGAAAGCGTAGGGGGAATTTGTGTGTAGGTTTTCCTCTTGTTTAATGTGATAATGTGCATTCAGTCCTTATCTGGTGGCATAAAGTTTTGTATCGGCTTTTGAAGTTGGGAACATGACCAGATTTGTTTTTCCGCCAAAGTGATCTCTTTTTGGATTGAAATGTCCTTATTGTTATGGATAATCTGCTTTTTCTGGTTAGGGGAGTTGTTATTGGTACATATAGTTTGATGACTCTTTTTTTTTAAGACAAATTTTATTGATTTTTTAAAGACAAACAAAACATAAGGCATAAAGACATAAAACCTCCTTTCTAAAAATTACTTATAAGTTTTAACAAGACAAATAAAACATTATTTTGAGACATAGTTCCACATTATCACATTTCCATTTAAGCAGGTATATATCTTTTCCAAATTTCTCATTGTTTCTCCCTTCACTTTTATTCAATTATATTTCTTTCTATCAAGGTTTTATTAATTCTCAATCAAACAAACACACAAAATATAAAATATAAAACAAGATAGAAACACATAAAACCTCCTTAATCATCATTTGTACACGTCTTTTCCAAATTTCTCATTGTTTCTCCCTCCAAGGTTTTATTAATTCTCAATCAAACATAGCTAACCAAAACATAAAACTTCTTTTGAAAAGTGGCTTAGCCCCGGGTTACATCTTTTTTTACAGACCTATATCAAATTCATGCTCACCTTATATACCATTCTTATCTTATTTATCATTCTATATTTTCTATATAACTTCTCCCTTCTTTTCACTCTCTTAATTATATTTTATTTATTTCATCTTATTTTAAAATCATTATACTTGTATCTTTTGTCCGTTCTTTTCCAATTATCTATATATCACTTCTCTTTAACAGAAAATTTTCCCTGTGATCACTTTTAAAGTGTAACGCCTTTCTATCTTTCCCCTAAATTAACACTTAAAATAGTACATAATTTCCATTCTGATTCTGCTTAGTACATTCTACATGTTGCCTTTTAAAATAAAGGAACAATAAATTTATAATATAGTTAAATATATAATTTCCATTCTAATTCTACTTAGTACATTATTTTAAAATAAGAAAATGAAATAGTAAATTTATAATAACATTAAAAAACTATAACTAAACATTAATCATTTTACACATCTCTTTGATATTTTATTGAATATTGAAATCTATCATTATTAAACATTTTAATATTTTAATATTTTATTAAATCTTATAATATTCCAATGGACTATTTCAAATGCAAATACTACAATACTATCTTATGTAGTACTCTTGCAGAATCTTTCCTTAATTATATTCTATCCTTTATCTCTGAAAAAGATCTGCTTTTTTACATCTTGTTTCAGGCCTTTGTGGCTTTTTTTCCCTCCCTTTCTTCTCCAGTCTGGTCTTTTTGCCCCCCCCCCTCCTAACCTCCACCTTTTTTACTTCCCCTCTCTGTTGTATTTCTCTTTTCTGTTGCTTTCTAACGTTGTACCTTTTTTTTCACCTTATTTTCCTTTTTCTTAGTTGTTTTATTAAATCTTAAATTCTCATTTTTCCTTCCTCTCTTCCTATTTTCTTTCTTAATTGAACTTTTTTGTCCATTAAAAATGGCTTCTTCTTCCTCTTGTTCTTCTCCTTCTTCCTCATGTATTTGCTGATATGTAGAAACCGCTATTTCTAAAAAGTGGAAGACAGCTCCCAAAGAATCCTTGCCTTCTTGTTCTCTTTCCTTTAATTTTTTCATATTCTATTTTTAACTCATCCACAGATAGTGCCATTGTAAATTTTTTAAAAACAATCCAGATGTTTTTAATCTTAAAATAATTTCCAAGTGTCAAAGTTATCAAACAGTCCAAACAAACACAAAAAATTTCCTCTTCTTCTCTTTGCAGTTTTTCCTCCTGGGACAAAATCCCAAAATATATTTTAAAGCCATATTACAGTTAATTGCTGATCTTATAATCTTCAAGGCGTCTCCTCCAACAAATTTTTAAAGGTTTTTTAGTCCTCTCCTTCCCACTTATAACAAAGAGTTTATTTTTACCTTAAAGAAGAAGATTTTTCAGTGCTCATTTGCTTTCTCCGTAGGGAAGGGGAGTAAACTTTCCTTCAGCACTTTCGCCGCTTTAACAACTTCTTTTGGAAACAACTGTATCAATCCAAAAGTTAGGTTTCCAGGGTGTTTAAAAGTATCTTAATGTCCCGGTTCAGCCAAGAAAACTTTCTCCTTCTGATTCTTCCTCCTGCACAGATCTTATCCAGTTGAAGATTCCTTTGTGGCTGCCATTTCTGACAGCCGCTCCACCACCTCAGGAAAAAGGAGTCTAGCCGGCTGGGGAAAGGGGTTGCGATATCCCCAGACCCCTGCCCGGATCTCCTCTATCTTCCGCTACCTCTTCGGGGTAGCGACAACACCCAAATCCAATTGGATCGGGGGTACCTCAGCGGCGAGCACAGCAGCGACCCACAGCATCGCGGAATCCTGCCGCCGCTGAAGCCTGCAACCGGAAGTTTCTCAGTTTGATGACTTTTTTGACCTCAAGTAAAAATATGTTGTAAAGGTCTTCAACAGTATTGCATTCAGTGAATAGAAATTGCCAATCAAGGGATGAGAGATCGTTGTCTATAAGATCATAGTTGTGTCTTTTGAAGTTATAACTGGGGAATCACATTGTTGTGTTGATTTTTGCGTGGACGTATGTTGAGACAAATGTCAATCATGTTGTGGTCACTATTGGAAAAGGGTTCTTTAATTTTTATTCAGTAAATTGAATTCAAACTATTGCAGAAGATGAGATCGAGGCAGTTGTTAAGTCTAATATTGTTGGTTACTAGTTGTTCCAATCCCAGATTTGTTACTGCATTGTAGAAGGTATGGGTTCAGTTTTACATTTGTTTAGGGTCCAGTTAATATGAGGTAGATTGAAGTCACCAAGAAAGATAAAAGCGTGTGGGCAGGATGTTGCCCATATTAGTAGTGACTTTAGCTTGTTTACATGTTTGATGTCATAATCAGGGGCTTTGTAACATAGTAAGAATCGAAATATGATATTTGAGGACAGTTCATAGATGATGGTCTCAGGAAGAGCAAGCTTCTGGGTAACTTGGATATTTTTTAGATTTAAGGACTTTTTATAGAAAATAACAACAACACCTCCTCTACAGATTTCATGATCTGATCGGTAAACATGATAGTCTCTTACTGTGGTAATGGAGTCAGAGAGAGATGCATTGAGCCATGTTTCACAGACAATTATGATGTTGAATTTAGCCGTATTTAGTAAGAGAAGAAATTCAGGTATTTTATTCACAAGGCTTCTTCATTGAGTAACTTGCATTTAAGGCCAGTTGTAGCTTGAATTAAGGTAGTTAGGGGTGTGCATGCCTAGTCTTGGGTGATGGTTGATTGTTTGAAGTAGGGTTGGATGCTGAGTTGGGGTTGTGTGACTTACTTTTGATACAGTCAGCACAGTAGTCGATGTACAGGTCCTTCTCTCCATTGTCTAGATGTTTTTTGAGTTCTGTGCAGAGTTCACAGGAGCAGACACATTACTGTACGGTTAGGTCAGGGCAAGAATGGAGGTTCTTATGGTTGGTGTTGCTTTTGGTGAGTGAATTTATAGTATAAATGAATTTATGTTTGCTTGATTCATTTTTGTAAATGACCCTGCAAAAGCGTGGGGCCACCGAGCCATTTCTGTTTTTGAACTCTAGGCCGATGCGGGAAATGTCAAGTATTTCATCAGGGGATATGGTTGATGCTTGATAGTCACTGATGATGTTGCGGACAATTGTGATGATTGTCATTGAAGTCCTCTAGACCAAATAAGATGGCATTTGGATTCTTTCGTTCACACTCGACAGCTTCTCTGATGAGGATTGGGATATCATTATTTGTTGGATTTATGTTTTTTGTGGGTTGGGTTGTGGTTGTTGGGTAGAGATGTGGTTAGTAGCTATTGGATGTTAGGGTATTGTGTTGTGTCTTTTTTTTCAAGATTAGTTAATCTTTCTTTTAAAGTGTCCAGGGATGTTGCTATGGTGTCAAGGGATGATATTCCTGTTCCTATTGTATCAACTTTTTCAAACAGGGCAATATATTTGTCCAGTTTGGGTCTGCATGATTGACAGAAATATTGAAATGCATGGTTGGATGATTCTAGGAATTGAATTATTTGCTTGGGTAATCCTAAGCAGCCATGGCGAGTGTAGTTGTCACACAGAGAACATTTGGTGGAATTTTCATTATCCTCTAGAGTTTCATAGCATATAAGGCATGAGCAAGAGTCTTGTGGTTCATTGGTGGGGATTTCTTTCTCTTTAGGTTGTGGTTTAGATTTTTTTTCTAGCATGTTAGGTTTGTTGAGATAGTACGTTGATTAAATTGCTTAATGAAACAATTTTGGGTAATCAATATAGCCAATATCACACCAATTAATCAATTACAATAATCTCTCGTCAAATAATTTTGCTAAGCAACAATCAGCCTAATCAATTAATTATGCTAATCACACTGGTCAATTAAATTCACTAAATCACTGATTTTACTAATCAATTAAATTACATGAATCCTGATCTTTTACACTAATCAGTAATCACACTATTTTGCACTAAACACTCTAATCACACTAATCAATCTAAACAATAAATCAATTAAACCATTGATAAATTAATTATTTTATAGAATTTGATTATCTAATCACTGATATAGATAATGCACTAGAAAAGTTATAAGTTTTGAGGTAATGAGAGTCAGCAAGAAAAGGGTTAATTGCTGCTGATATCTGATCCACAGAGTGGTAAGGACTTTGAGAGGGACTTTACAGCTGACAGGAAATCTCCGCTCAGGGAGTCTTTACCCAGGGAATCTTGGTGAGATAGAGGTGGAAGGCATGTGGTTTCTTTTTGTTTGAAATGGCTTCAAAGTGATTGATTTTTGGTGATTTAAATGGACCTCAGTTCTCTATAATTCACAGCCGTTCAGAATCACAGCCTCTGTCAGTTCCGTCTCTTTCTCTGCAGCTTAAAATCACACTGACGACCAGTCACAGCTCATTGAATGGCTCAGAATCTCTGTAAGTGTCCAAATCACTCACTCATAAATTACAGCTCATGCAGGCTCTTATCTCTATCCGCTTCTCCTCAAGTCTTGGTCTCTGTCTCCTCCCTCGTTGTTTGTGCCTGCCAGCTATCCGCTGTGGCTCTGTGGAAACTGTCTGGGGGATTTGAAATGAGACACGTTGTCTGGCGTGGAAGATTCTCCGATTAGCTGTGTGTGGGATTTAAATGAAGGTGCGTTGTTTGCGCTCCACTGGCTCCAGTTCGCTTGACTTCCACCGGTGTGGTTAATAGGGATCGAGGGAAGGAGCTCTGCTTCTCTGGGGAGGAGGGGAGGGCTCCAGAATTCAGTGTTTTTTGGGAGGGGCTCTGGTTTACGTTTTTGGAATTCAGCGCTCCTGCTAGCAGGAGCTTCACTGGCGTGATTACGGCTCCAGGGCTTCGGAATCCAGTGTTGTTTATTTTTATTTTAATTTGGGTGGGGGGGCTCCAGTTTACTCATGGTTTCTGGTGCATGTGGCAGCTTTGAAGGTGATTTCTAGTGCAGGCCATGGCTTTATAGGTGATAGTGCTCCAGGAGAGAGAGCCTCACCTTCCTAGTTGGGCGCCGCCATCTTAGCCATCAATATCAATATTAGACCAGTAATCAGGTAGATATTCTGGGAAGCAATTACCACCATTATTTACTATCTGAATCTAAACTCCTTATGACTTCAACCCAGTTCTGAGCCACTTGGACACAGAGATCTTTCTATTTCATCTTGGAGTCTGAAAGACTGGAACCTGCTGACATTGGCAAATGAGGCTTCCCATGGTGTCCAGCAAGTAATAATTTAGCCAAACCAAAAGTTTCCCTCACCATAAACTAGAAATCTGTTGTAAAGTATGTAAAGTATTGAAGGGGGGAGGACAGAGGAAATGAAACAGGCTGAAAACAGACCGGAAAATGGGCTGTGCATGCTGTTTTTTGGACAGCGGAGTGCTGCAGGAGGCCACGAAGGGTGAAAACGAGGAGCGGGGGAGGGCACACCCCATTTTGGACAGCAGGCAGCCATCCCTCTCCCTCCACCCCTCTGCCTGTTCTAAACTGTGGCATCCAATTGAAAGGATTAGATTACTTATAGAAGTAATAATAAAAGTTTGTGAAGCCCTTCTCTTTTTTCATCCACAGTGTATTGCCTAAGAAAATGGCCTACTACCTTCGCAGAATTCTGGGTTCCACTGGAGACTTGTATAAAACCGCCAAGTTGGATTGCATCAACAATTGTCACTTAGACATCTTTGAGTACAGTAGGCCAAAAGCAGTTTTCCAAAATACTTTGTATCCATTCCAATCTTTCACTGGTCTAATATAGGTAGATTGGTTTGGGTGGGGCGGGGGCGAAATCCAGTAATAGAATAATACATGAGTATGCTAGATGTAAATGATTTATTTACGAAACAATGATTGCATATTAAATGGATACATCAGAAAGCATTGATTCAGCCAGACAGGGTTTTTTTTCTCCTTAATTTCTCCTATCATTTCTGGTATCCAGTTCCAAATATTAATTCTTTTGGAAGTGATAGTTGTTGTTTTTTTAATTTGTTTTGTTTTACATTACTTTATTATTTTATTATCAAATTTAGAAACTATCCATCTCCCTCAGGGAGAAAATTAGGCAGCGTACAAATAAAATATAAAAACATATTAGGCAGCAAAGACATTAAAAGTGAAAAAGATGTGAGGAGCAATTGAACAATATGGCAGAGCAATATGGCAAAGCCAGCTCTTCAAACTCTCCTGAAAGGCCAGGAGAGTGGGACCCCACTTTTTCTCTGTGAGGAGACATTATAAAGGGTGAAGTCAGCAGAGAACCCTTTCTTTTCAAATCCCATCAGATGAAATTCTTTAATTAATGGGGTCCATAACATACCCTTCCTGTCTGACTGAGTGGGATGGGCCAATGTAATGGGGCAAAGACAGTTCCACAGGTCATCTGCTCCATGCCATGTAGTGATTTAAAGGTCATAACCAAAACCTTGAATTGGACTTGGAAGCAAACTGGCACACAATGCAGTCATAAAGCAGAGGTGTTACATGTACTTGGGAACACCCAAGATTGTTTGTGTGGTCATATTCTGGTACCAGCTTATACAGATCCATTTCAAGGATAGCCCCATGTAGAACACATTGCGATAGTTCAAACAAGACATGACCAGGTTGTGAATGACCAAGCAAAGAACCTCCAGGAACGGTTATAACTAGTGCACAATGCAAAACTAAGCAAAAGCACTTCTAGGCATAACTGCTCCTTCCTCTTCAAGCAAGAATAATAAATCCAAGATAACTCCTAGATTATGCTCTAGATCTGTCTGGGGTAGTGCAACCTCATCCAAGACCACAGATGATAAACTCACAGGTACAGAATACACACACCCCACTCCCAATAGCCACATTCTCCCATCTCTACTGAAAAGATCTTATGTTGTCTTTTTGAGTCTAACCTCCTTGGAACTATTGGTCACCCAGTCCAGTATAATTGCTCAGTCTAGTCAGTGTAGTCTAGGGCAGTGGTCCCCAACCACCAGGTCCCGGACCGGTACCGGTCCGTGGACCATTTTGTACCAGTCCGTGGACCATTTTGTACCGGGCTGCCTATTTTGCTTGGGCGCCGCCATCTTGTTTTAACGGCACTTGAGAAAGTGCTTCCGGGTGAGCTTGTCAGTTGTCGGTTGGCATTTGGGTGCTGAAGGAATCCTCGCACCTTAGTTTCATCAAGGGGGGGCGGCTTCAAACGAAGAGCCATCCCAATGGTGGTGGAGTCTCGCATTACTCAGGAGAAGATTAAGAAAGAGCCCAAAAAGCCCATCGACCACGAGAAGGTACAAAGGAGGAGTTGAAGGTGGCGGGGAGAAGCGGGGGATGGCTGGCTGGCCGGTCACTCGGCTCACCTTGCCTTGGTCGTGCGTGCCAATGCCGGTACCGGTCCATGGATCATTTTGTGATGCCGGTACCGGGCCGTGGCACAAAAAAGGTTGGGGGCCACTGGTCTAGAGGGTCTCATTAAGGCAGCAAAAGGTCTGGAATTCAGGGTAGTTTTTTCTTCTCCAGCTTGTGATTTGTGATAACTGAGATATTATCTCTCATTCTCCGGTTGTTGTTTTTTGCTTAAGTTATCAAAAAATAGCAGAACTTAATTTTTAATTTTAATCTAAAGATGATATTAGGTGGTCCAGCCCTGCTCAAGATGATACCTTAACAAGTAAGATACGTGTTAAGATACCTTAAGGCAGGGGTGTCAAGCTTGAAGGCCTGCAGGCCGGATCTGGCCATGGGGTGCTTAATTCTAGCCCATAGGACAGTCATGAAAAAGGCAAAAGACCGACCTGCGCTGCCTCTGACAGCAAAAACAGAGCTGCAGGAGGCCCTGTTTTCAGCCTGGACAGCCTCCTGCAGCCCTCTGCCAGTGAAAACTGAGGCTGGGGCGGGCTGTGGGCTCCATTTTCACTGGCAAAGAGCTTCATGAGGCCGTTAAGACTGAAACCTGGGCCTGGGGGTCCGCACGCAGCCCCCGCAGGCTCCAATTTTGCTGGCAGAGGGATAGCAAAACTAACAGTAAAACAAAAGGAGAAATGTTTCCCCTTTTGCATTGGAGCACGTAAGAAGGGAGAGGAAAGGAGAAGGGGAAAAAGGAAAGACAAAGAAAAAAGTGGGATGATGGGAAGAGAGCAAGGAAGGGAAAAAGAGGAAAGAAAGGAAAGAAGAAGAAAGGAGAATGAAGAGGGAAAGAAAAGAAAGGAAGTGGGGGGAGTCCTGCTTTAGCACTTGGCCACCAGCAGATGGTAAGGCTCTTCTGGAAGACAAGGGTCTAGTTCTCTCCTTGGTCTCGCCAATGTATAATGGATCCTCCCAGCCCCACCCATGCCACCACAGGTGCCCCCAACACTAGTGATGTTGAGCTGGCCACACCCACTCAGGCTACGCCCACCCAGTCCCTCAAGGTCAAACAACCCTGATGTAGCCTCAATGAAATTGAATTTGACACCCCCTCCTTAAGGTATCCTAAACCATTTTCTGGAATACTGAAATAGAAAAAATGAAAATAACTACTTTGATTTCTTGTGAAATACGATGATTTGCATACCAATACTTTTCCATTGGTCTATAATACATTTTTGATCATACATCTTGAACCACCATGTATTTAAGAAAAGAGCTACCCTGACTACGTTAGTTGGGAGCCTCTGTGGCGCAGTGGTTAGAGTGCAGTACTGCAAGCTTCTTCTGCTGCAGCCAGCTGCCTACAATTTGTCAGTTCAAATCCCTCCAGGCTCAAGGTTGACTCAGCCTTCCATCCTTCTGAGGTGAGTAAGATGAGGATCCAAATTGTTGGGGGCAATATGCTGACTCTGTAAACCACTTAGAGAGGACTGTAAAGCACTATAAAGCAGTATATAAATCTAAGTGCTATTGCTATTAGCCTCTTTCCTGTTTTGAGACTTAAGATTCTTTTTAATATAGTATTAGAATACTAAATAAGAAACATCATAGCTACTAATGACATTTTCATCAGGAGACAAGGGTGTGTACTAACAGGCATAGTTGTCTTTGCAAGATTCTTCAACCTGCCTCCCTATGCCAAATCCGGAGACATGATATAGCCCAACATCACTTTTTCACCATCAAAACATGCTTTTAGTCTGGGCTGCCAGAATCTTTCTTTACTGCCTGACTGATCTATAGTGACTTGTTTGACAGTTTGGATGTCAGAGACCAGTTTCAGCCTGATGATAATCTCATATTCTTCAGGCATGCAGTGGCGGGGTCCTGTACGCATGCACAGGCGGGCAGGGGGAGCAGAGGGTGTCGTGTGTGCATTGCACTAAGGGTGCAGGCATGCATGCACACTGTCACATGCACATGGCACACTTTTGCACGCAACGACAAAAAAGTTAACCATCACTGCTATATAGAGATTTTCATCTGTGCATTTTAGAAAGTTTTGCTGTAAGACTAAGAATTTTATACTGTAGAAGTTGTTGTGAAAGATCCTGTTAATCTCTGGTAGCCAAAGTATCAGGACTCTGGTAGGTCCCTTTCAAGCAAACAAGATCCTTCATCAGTTTAGCTACTCTATCAGTCAGATGAAATGAGATTAAAATTTAATGTCCTTTTATACTACCTGTTAACCTGAAATGGGTCTAATAGATTCCTACTATAGAGGTAGTCCTTTGATTTACACCACAACTGAGTCCAAAGCTTCTGTTGCTAAGCAAGACAACTGATAAGTGAGTTTTGCTCCATTTTATGACTATAATTGTTAAGTGAATCACTGCAGTTAAGTTAGTTCATTTAGTGACCATTTGAAGTTACGATGGCACTGAAGTGACTGCTTTTCAACTTACAGTCATTGCAACATCCTCATGATCAGATGATCAAAATTCAGATGTTTGTCAACTGGTTCATATTTATGACAGTTGCAGTGTCCCAGGGTCATGTGATTAATTTTTGCAGCCTTCTTACAT